AAGGAAGCAAAAGTTGGACTCTAGAGAGACAGGATAGAAAAAAGTATTGACATCTTTGAATATTGGTGTTGCAAAAAATTCTGAGAATACGGGACAGTCAAGAAAATGAACCAGTTATGTATCACTAAGCAAGTCAACCCAGAGTTCTCACTAGAGGCATATGTGACCAGCTTACTTATCCTACTTCAAACACATTAGGTAAAGATCTAACCTTCTGGAAAAGGTTCTAATGCTAGGAAAGAAGAAGAAGAAGAAGGAGAAGGAGAAGGAGAAGGAGAAGGAGAAGGAGAAGGAGAAGGAGAAGGAGAAGGAGAAGGAGAAGGAGAAGGAGAAGGAGAAGAAGAAGAAGAAGAAGAAGAAGAAGAAGAAGAAGAAGAAGAAGAAGAAGAAGAAGAAGAAGAAGAAGAAGAAGAATAAGAAGAAGAAGAAGAAGAAGAAGACGAAGAAGAAGAAGAAGAAGAAGAAGAAGAAGAAGAAGAAGACCAGTGGTAAGATGGATGGACTCAGTTATATTGGTGATCAGTCCACAACTGAAAAAACCAGGTTAGGGATAGATCATCATGAAAAAAAACTACCTTGTTACTAGGAGTCAAAAACAACTTGATGGCACATAATCACAGTACAATACAGGATATAAGTGATTTAGGCCTATCTTCCCATTCCTGCCTTTCCATATATGGTGTGATAAAGCTAACAGTGCCAATGCACTATTAGATAAGAGTGTGTGTTCCGATATTTCTACGTGGATTTGGGTCAACATAATCATCAAATCTCTATTGCATAGCATGAATCATGTCAAAGTGGACATGTTTATTATAAACTGGATTGCATCTTTTGGACTCAGATTTTCAGAATATTCAGTTAAGGAAGTATGACAATTTTTACTGACTGTGAGATATTAAGTTCATTTCCTCTTACTGCAAAAAGAAGTTCTTACAAGAGACTAAACATGGTGCTTCTAATGAAGTATAAAAGAATATATCAAAGCAGTCTGAATGAATATTTTGAAGGATACAATAACACATTGTGTGAAGGAGAAATTAAACTCATTCACTCACTTGGTTATTTGAAAAACAGAAACCTTGCATAATATATTAGAACAAATATTGTAACTTCGTTTTTGTGGGAAGAGAAACGCTCTTGCAGTTCTTTCTCACCTTAAAAAAAGCATTAAAAGAAAGAAAATTGGCATGAATTTTCTTTGAAAACTCTGCCTCCTAGCCTGTTTATCTAGCCCCAAAAGGATAAACAATTATAAGCCTCTGGTGTACTGCTAGGTGTTCTAAATGGTTAGAAAGCTTTATTAAAATTCTAAAAGGAACTCCTGACTAATAAAATGGATAAGCACTGATGCCACAAAAAAGCTAATTACAAAACAAGTGGAAGCCACAATAAATTGTTGCAGAATTCTAGTATCCTGAAGAGAAACATTATGGTTCCAAACAGCTATCCAGGCCCCTCCAGCAGATTACTTCATTCCTCATTCTTAGTTTCTCTTTTTTCTTTCCAAGTCATTGGTCAACATTACATACTACTAAGAATGTGTAATCTTTATGAAACTTCTTTTATTGTGGGGAAAAATAGGTTGCTTTGTTGATATTGGATTTAGAGTGGATTTCATTTGTTTTGCTCCTCTGCAAGATTCTCCAAGACAGGGCTGTCCCGTCTTCTTCATAATTTCATTTTCATTCCCTTTTTAGTGGCATCCACCACTGAGATTTGAGAGCAGTACTGATATTATCTAAGCAAAAAGTGATTATGGCATATTTACAAAATATCAAAAATACAATGAAAGTAGGGGAAAGCCATCAACACAACTGATGTCAAGAACTTTTAAAAATGTCCTAGATTCACAAATTATGTTAAGGTACAAAAACAGATTGTTTGAATTTTATTTACTATAATGTGCAACCTATTCAAATAATATCTGATGAATAATGAAATAACACTTCTAATCATTGGCTAAGATTATACATCGCATTAATCACAGGGCTTCGTATTTTATGCAAACTCTAATAGCAAGAAAAAAGTTTAAAAAACTCAAAAGTTGTAACTTAAATAAATGATGACTGATCAGATCAGGGCTGCAAAAAATCTCAATAATTACCATTTGGCAGGGGAAAAAAATACAGAAAACCTAGCCCAACTATCATGCTGGATGCTCTCATAAAATTATTATATTAATCATAGTTTATTAATTAAATCCCAATACCTAAAATGTCCTAAACCAAGTCACATTAGGGCACACATTTAGCATAATGGGTGAACCCAGCCAAAATGATGTTTATCATGGATGGCTAAATAAGGTAAACTGGGGAGATGAACCCTGATGAATCCTGAAAACAATATGCTAAGTCACAATATAGTTTAATCTACTTTAAGCATACAATATTTATTCAAAGAATGTATACCATTGTCTACCTATAATTATCCTAGGTCAGTGGTGGAGAACCTATGGCATGCATGCCAAAGGTGGCACTCAGAGCCCTCTCTGTTGGTACGCGTGTCAATGCCGCCAGCAGCAGGTCCATCAGGCTGCCCCCACCCAGAGCAGGAAGAGAAGCGGCAGACTAGCAAGCTTAAGTAGAGGTGGTAGAGCAGAGGTCACCAACCATTGTCAATTAGTGGACTGGAAGAAAAGGGAGGGGAAAGCATTTTACATGTGTGCATGCGTGCATAGGGCCGTGAGCACTCACGTACTGCAAATGGGGTGGGGCTAGTGCCTGCATGATACTCACTAGCCCTGCCCTGTGCTTAAATGGTGCAGCGCCTTGTATCTGCACCCTGTGGCACGGCAGTGGCCATTTTTGCGCATTGCAGCACGGTGGCCCATTTTTGGTCCCCCGGGTTTTGCGTGCCAGGGACAGCACTCAGATGTGCCTCCCTGCTCCCCCCCAAGGTCACCACAATGCTGATGCCACCCTGGAACTTTGCAATAAATAAGTGGGTTTTGGGTTGCAGTTTGGACACTCAATCTCTAAAAGGTTCGCCATCGCTGTCCTAGGTGACTCACAACAAAACCAATAAAACAGAAACAAAACAATCATGTTAGCCTTACAAAAGAACAATATACTTCCTACCAAGGTACCAAAACTTTCTATTAACTCTACGTAAGATGGCATACTGCACGAATCCATCTGTTATGACTTATTCATGCTTAAGCACCCTGGGTACTCTTAGGCTTGATCTAGATATAGTACTAAAGTATGTGGGTTTTTTTTGTCATAGTATATAATATAAAACCTGTCAATAGTGATTTATTCACTATCTATGGGAAAACAAATCATATGAACCCAGTCTTTTTTTCCATACATTTTATTGATTTTTTAAAACATAAATCACTTAATAGTTGGTAAACAGTGTGTTTGCTGGGTTTACATTTGTAAAGAAAAATCACTAACAATTGGTTTCTATAATCCATAATACACATAGTACATTTAGTTGATCTCCCCCTTTCCCCAAAATGTCTTCTTTGCAAACCTTGAAATAATACAGTTCTTATTATTTTGATAAATATTTGATAAATAACAGTTATGTATATGATTTTTTCCACAATATTCCGAGAAATAATGATCACATCAATATAATATTTCTTTTCTATCTAATCATTCTGGTTGCCTCATCTTATATCCTGTTACAGTCCTTATTTAGATTTGTTTCTCCCATAAAGTTCAAAGTATTCTTGCTGGTTAAGATTTTCTCAACAGATAATTATATTTAAAGATTTAAATCCATTTTTCCCATATAAACCATCTTAACACTTTTACATTTCTTAAAGAATAGGTAAAAACAGTAAAGAAAAGAAAAAAGAACAAGAATAAAGAAATATAAAAAGTAAAATACTACTATATTCCTCCTAAGCTAATATATATATTCATTCCCCAAATTTCTTATTCTTTTAACCATGATTAAAAATATATTTAATCTTTAAATATTTCATTTAATGTGTCTAGTCATCTAATCCTTTAATTCAGGGGTGTCAAACTGCTGGCCTGCGGGCCAGTTTCATCATACCGGAGCTGCACCCACCCCATTGCTGGCAATGGCGAAAAGCTCCGATATGTTGCGTGATGTCACATGACGTTGCGAGTTTGACATGTCTGCTTTAACTCTTATTCAAAACATTTTTTTCTTTTTTTATACATTATAATTTCCCTAAATTCAGACACATTTATTTATCTAAAACATTTCCTTCATCTAGGTCATTTCAGCAGCACTGTATTACTTATATCAAGAAATAAAATAAAAAGAGGGGGGGGAACCATACAGTATTATTTAAGGAATTCATCTCTCTTAGAATGACCTATGTATTCAGAATCTTTTCTCTTTCTTTAATCATATTCAAACAAATGTTTTTTTTTTAAATATTCTTTTTGGTAGATCCCATCATCTATTTTCTTAATTTTCACTTTGATCTTTTTCCTTTGACCAGTATCTTTCTTGATCAATGTGTTTTGCTGAATCAAAAAGATTTTCCATATATTCATGACTGTTGCTCTAGGTATAAGAAATAAATCAAATAAAGTATCTTTATGTAAGGCTTTTGCCTTTCCATGTTTCTTGAAAATTTTTTCTCTTTTGTGGGGAAAAATGCACACGCAGCAAACTACCGTGCTTTCCCCCCCCCACAAATCTCATAACCTTTTGATACCCTTTGTCCCAGTAAAGCAGCTAGAAGGTCATACCCTTTTGACTTAATGCCTCACCTATCTAAACAGATAATATGCTTAAGTTCCTTCCTATCTCTTCCTGTCTTTGTCAGTTCTTTCTCCTTTTGATCTACATGTATTTGTTCTTACCTGGTCTTTGACCATGTAATGTGTTACTAGAAAATAGTTGCTTACATGAAGACATTTTCCAATGAAGAAACCTTTGTCAGCATCTAATGGTTAAGCTGGTGTATGTAATAAGTATATAAGAAGCAATAAACTCAAAGTTTGTCAAGCTGTGTCCTGCAGCTTCAAACCTCTGCTCAAGACATGCTTGTGTCTTTTTCTTAGCGTCTTACATCTGGCCCCTGAACAGGGACGGCCCCACATGGAGCAACTGGGACAGCCCCCCCCTTCCGAGGGAGCCACAACCAACATACTTACCAGCATCTGGAATAGACCTCTAAGAGCACTTTCGTACTATGGGACCCCTCAGTGGTAAGTAAGGATTGCAATCTATCTCAGCACCAGCAGAAACATGTACAGGAACTCAGATTCCTGTTACACAAATCAGGTGTGAAAGCACCTGAGGCAGACACAGGAAGCTGGTGGGTGAGGTAGGGAAACATTCCCCTTGATATCCTAAGCACTGGACATTTAGGTTATGAGATTGGGAAAAAACATTTACATCTTGAATGTCGGGCTCCAGTACAGGTATTACATCAATAGCATCAGTGCCATCAAGCAGTGGAAAATTTGGCTTAGATGCTTCAGCAGGGCAACAATTAACGACAAGCCCCACACCTGATTAGGATCAAGTAAAAACTGTGCCTCTGAAAGCATCTTTAATTGGATTTTCAGCTCCTTCTGAAGAGGCTAATTCTTTTGCCTCCTTAAGGCCATCATACACCCCCATAAGGAAAATATTAGAGGAACAATCTTGAAGTAGAAAAAATATATATGGGGAATCGTCAGAGGAATTTAAAGAAACAAATTAATTCAAAATATACTCCTCTGCAATGTGTTTTGAACAATTGGGATGTTTTGAAACTTCAAGTAGCTGTTAAGTTTAACTCTGTCTGGTAGTGCTTTGTGTTGATGTGTAGAAGTATAAATAATATTTAACAAGACAACATTGAAAAACTTTGTAAACCTCCAGTTGGCTAGTTTATCTGATAACAACTAAAGCCACGAAAGGAAAAGAAAAGAAAATTCAAAGAACTGAAAGCAAGGTTTTTTTTTCTTCCCTTTTAATCTGGCTCTATTCAATTCCCCTTTGTCAGAGGTGAGGAGAGGAGGCTGCTACTTTTCCCTCATCCTTCACACCTTCAATATTCCTTTTAGTTTTCCCCAATGTCTTTTGAAGTTGCTGGGATAAATTGGAAGTAACCATAAATGTCCCCCTCCTTTTTAATTAAAAGGGGAGGCCTCTGTTAGCCCTCAAACCCCATCCCCCACCACTCCCTCCCAGGCTTTGAAAGAAATAATAAACTGCAGATTTTATTGTTGTAAAAGTAAATTGAAAAGCAATAGTAAGTGTTTGCATGAGAAGAGTCCCATGGAGAATGTGTGAGAGAATTTATGGAAAATGCATGTGAAGGAAAGAAAACTATTTTTTAGTGGTGAGAAGTTTGTAACAAAAAAAATTCCTGTGTCTTTTGTTTTTCAACTGGCTGGTTGTTTAAGAGCAAGAGAGACAAAAAGAAGAGGGGGGGGGGGACTGTTCATTTTAAACTTTTTTCCCTCTCTGCTTAGAATTCTGGTTTGTGGGCTTCCGATTCTGGTTCGTGGCATCACTAGTCGCATGGGGAGACTTCTCTCCTTGTCAACTAGGTTTCCCTCCATCGGTGGACCCTTATACAGGTCCAAAGTCACCCTGGAGGGTGCGACTTCTGTTGAGGAGGCTGCGGTCTGGCTGCGGAGGAGCAGCGGCTCCTCCAGCTCTCCGGACGAAACTCTGAGGACCGACAGAGAAGAAGATTGGCCAGGAAAATGGCTGATTGCTCTGCCGTTTCAGACCATTAAGTCGAACAACATCTAAGCTTTTAGTGCCCCCGTGGTGAATCCGGGTGAGAATTTTTTCTTATTTTTCTCTCTTTTCCGTTTATTTTTTTGATTGTGTGCCTTTAAAGAGCTCTTGAAATTATTTCCCTGGCTTGGAAAGGTGGCTTCTGCTTTTTTATGGGAAGAAAGGCATTTCACAAACACTGAAAGGCTATAATCTATTTTTATTGGGACACTAAAAAGGAAAAAAAAAGAAAAAGGCTTCTCTCTCCTTTCTTTTTAAGAAATTTACTATTTCTGCACACACACACACACACATATATTTGTATATATATATATTTGTTTTCTGAGGTTTTCGTGGGTGTTTGTATGTAGGTCTTTGGTCATTCAGGTCATTGCTCCTAGAAGCACAAAGCCGAAAACACCAGCCTGAAGATGACGAATGGGACTTCGTCGAAACGTCGCCAAGATACTTCCAATTTTACGCGGGAGAAAACCCGAACAACCAAAGACCTACATACAAACACCCGCGAAAACCTCAGAATATATATATATATATATATATATATATATATATATATATATATATATATATATATATATATATATATTGGCGAAAATTTAATACTGCAACCCTGCTTATTTCTTCTTATGAACTTTAAAACACTAAAGATAAACTGTGCACCTGTGAAACTGTGGGGGTGGGTGTTTCTACATTAAACAAAGCCTAAACAAAAAAGAAAAAGAAATCTCCTTTTAAGCATTAGTATTAAAATGGAGAAACCTCAGATACAACTGAATTGTGCACTTATATTGGAAAAGATTTAAGAGGTCACTGCAGAAATTTGTGCTACATTTAAAAACTGTACTTTAGAATTAAGATCCAGAGACTCTACTATATTTGCCCAAACTGATGTCCAGGTTACAACTGATTATGGCATAAATCAAAATGTGCCAGAAGAGGAATTTACAGAGATAGAAATGGAATTTACTTCATCTGACAATCCCTTCTCCAACAACTTAGAGAACCAGAAGAAGCAAAGACTAAGACTTCAAAATACAAAGCAACTACATTGCAAAGAGAACAGAAAAAGATGTTTACTGCAGAGGAAGAGATTTATACTCTCTCAAAGATTATTACAAGCAATAAGAATTGATTTATTGGTTGAAAGAGGAAAAAGATGTTTACTACAGAGAAAGGGACATACATTTGCTCAAAGATTACGAGAAGCATCAAGAATGGATTTACTGGTTGAAAGGGAAGCGTCTTTATGGAAGCCGGTGTGGTATAGAAAGAAACCAAGAATCAGACTCAAAAACAAATTTAAAAATATTTAATGGAGCAAAAGGCAATGTTGATTTCATGGATTGTTTTAAGGATAATGATTTAGAGCTGAAAAATGCAATTATACACATGTGTGTTTAAATTAGTAAAAATTGTTGAATGGATTAAAAGGCAATGTTGGTTCTATGGATTGTTTTATAATAATAATAGTAATAATAATAATAATAATAATAATAATAAAGTTGGAAGGGACCTTGGAGGTCATCTAGTCCAACACCCTGCTCAGGCAGGAAACCCTATGCCATTTCAGACAAATGGCTGTCCAGTCTCTTCTTAAAAACTTCCAGTGTTGGAGCATTTACTGCTTCTGGAGGCAGGTTGTTCCACTGATTAATTGTTCTCACTGTCAGGAAGTTTCTCTGTAGTTCTAGGTTGCTTCTCTCCTTGATTAGTTTCCACCCGTTGCTTCTTGTCCTGCCTTCAGGTGCTTTGGAAAATAGCTTGACTCCCTCTTCTTTATGGCAGCCCCTGAGATATTGGAATACTGCTATCATGTCCCCCCTTGTCCTTCTCTTCGTTAAACTAGACATACCCAATTCTAGCAACCGTTCCTTATATGTTTTATCCTCCAGTCCCCTAATCATCTTTGTTGCTCTTCTCTGTACTCTTTCTAGAGTCTCAACATCTTTTTTACATCGTGGTGACCAAAGTGTGGCCTTACCAAGGCATTGTAGAGTGGTATTAATACTTCACATGATTTTAAGGATAATGATTTAGACTTAGAAGTAAGAAATCTACAACTATACTCATGTGTGTTTAATTTAGTTTGATGGAAGTTTGTTTGGTATGGAAATATGAAAGTTAAATGTGGAATGAAAAAAGAAACTTGGCTTTACAGAGACTAAGAATGCATTTCTTGGAGTAAAAGATAGATTTAGACTGGAATTTTGAAATGTTTAATTAATTAGGAGATTTTTGTGAATAATAATATGTTTCGATATGGTAATTAATTGGATGGAATTTGGTTTATTTAATGAATGGAAATGAAATAAGTCAAATGATCTAGATTTAGAAGTAAGAAAATTATAACTATATATATGTGTAATGTTTAATTAATTAAGAGATATTTGTGCATAATAATACGATATGATATGATAATATTGTCTTTTTTAAACTAAATTAGTTATTATTGGAAGAATAAATAAATAAGATTGGTGATAAAAAAGGGATGAGAGAGATTAAGAACTTGAATATATTTGCAAGAGATATTTGAAGGGGTAATATGTTAATGTAAAACATTATTTGATTATGGTAATTGAAATTGATAAAGTTTTAATAAACAGGTTTAGTAGTAATAGAAATGTAGGATAGAAATGAAATATATTAAATTTATTATGTTACTTGAGGGAACTAGAGAGATTATAGTGAATGTATTAAGTTGAGCTGTTATTGTGTGATTTTATGTTGGAATCTGTGTTTACCCAAACACCACGGTGTGTCTCAAACACTTTCTGTTAAAACTATAAAACTAATAAAATATATTTAAAAAAAAGAATTCTGGTTTGTGAATGAAGATGAAATTTAATGCCCACTCTTGCAGTTTCAGATTACAAAATTTTTACTTGAAAGAAGAGACAGTAATTGTTGGACAATATTTTTTGGGAAAAAGTGTTGAGTTTAAATTGTTTAGTTAGACCTATATATCCATCAACCAAAAGAAATGACTCTGAATTGTTTTGCTTAGATTTGTAAATGTTTAACATATTTAATAGAAATTTGTTTCCATCTGAATGGTATTTGATTAACTTGGAATTTGACTTATTGACGAACCTGGAGATCTCATTGTAGTTCCACTTGCAGTTAAGCAAATTAAGTACTTGAGTACTCAATTTGTGGACAGAATTCCACATAAAAATTGTCATTTAACACTTTTCATATTTCTTACTAGTAAGCTACTATCAGGAGTATTATCTGTGTTAGAAGCACAAAAAGTATATTGTATTGAATGGCTTTACTTATCCCATCCCAAAATGTTTTATCTTTTATCCAGGCTGTTACTGAAATAGTAATCTTAGGACACAATTGAGCTTGTCCTTGAAATGGGACTGATTTAATTAATATTATTCTTCCTATCCCAAAATTTGATTTTCAATTTTATTTTCAGAATAACTTATCTCTTCAGTGCTCTTTAACTGACTATATAGGCTGTATTTCATATCATCTGCCTACACTGCAGTGCAATCCTCACCACAACGCTCAGAATTATCTGCTGCTATTTTAGCTTTCCACACCTTTTCTCAACAGACTTTTAACTTAATCTCTGGCTCTCATTATGTGTGCCAACTTATTTTTAATTTTCCAGGTGCTTATATCATGCCCAGGATCAACCCCAATCTTATGGCTTTGTTTTTAACTTTACAGTAGCTATCCTTTGTTTCTCACATACACATCGGTCCTTTAAGGACTGCCTTCACAAACAAATAAAAAAGGAGGGATCAAGGGTATCTAATTTGGCATGGATAACTCATCAAGTCAATAAAGTCCTAATAACTTTAAATCAGCTAAATATTTCTTTTCAAAAAACTACTGTCTACCAGCGTCACTTTCAGCAGAAAGCTGTGCTCCCTAATCCATTGGTATGTTATCGGCAATTGCCTGATAAAACCTGGTTAGGTCCAATTCCCTTATTAACTTGGGGGTGAGGCTATACTGCTGTGCTTGCTCCTACAGGCCCTCTCTGGATTCCAGCCCAGTGTGTGTGACCAGCCAAAGATGTCATGGCATCAAGTCCAGAACCCAATACTGAAAATGAAGCAGGTGACTCTTCAGACAGCACAACGTCCCTTTTGCTCTCGCCATCGCAGTTGACCAACAACCTGGGGCGATGTGAAGAACCTAACATCCAAAGCGCAGGAGGTTCTGCGGCAACAGGGAAAAGAACCTACATCAGAGAATTTATGCCCTGCCATATTTGTGATTTTGACTGCAAATTCCTTAGTCATTCTTTGCCTCTCTTTCCTTCTTAATTGCTGTGTGGGAGCTCAAGCTCTCCCACCTCATCCTTTAGAATCATAGATGAAATATAATATTTGGGTGCAATTAGCTAATGTCACACAAGTGACAGACTTTTGTATTTCTGAATCATATGATATGGAAAATCTATACCTGTCTTATACCTTTGTGTGTTCCAGCTTCAGTTTTAAAACAATTATACTGGTTTAAGCAATTTTCTATCAGACAATGAATTTCATTATGCAACTATGTCAAACTGGGGTCCTATCTCTTATATGTTACCCTTTGATGCTAATTGCATACACCAATTGTAGTTGTTCCTACAAATCTTACTTGTGCAAAAAATGTCAATTGTACTACTTCACCTAAAAAACCTCATTGTATACATGTCAGTCAAAGAATTTTAAATTGTACCTCCTTTCAAGAGGTATCCTTTAATTATGCACATATATGGTTATTCAATGTCTTTTTTTTTCTCTATTTTCAATTTTCCATACTAAACTACCATTAAATTACCTCAGGAACAAGTTATGTTTTGTATAAACAAATGCAAAGTTATATGTCCCCTGACTAAGACCCACTAACTACTCCAGCTTAGGATAATGTCCTCACTAATAAAATAGAGAAGAGTGAGATGTGGGGAAAAATGCACACGCAGCAAACTGCCGTGCTTCCCCCCCTCACAAACCTCATAACCTTTTGATACCCTTTGTCCAAGTGAAGTAGCCAGAAAGTCATACCCTTTTGACTTAATGCCTCACCTATCTAAACAGATAATATGCTTAAGTTCCTTCCTATCTCTTCCTGTCTTTGTCAGTTCTTTCTCCTTTTGATCTACATGTATTTGTTCTTACCTGGTCTTTGACCATGTAATGTGTTACTAGAAAATAGTTGCTTACATGAAGACATTTTCCAATGAAGAAACCTTTGTCAGCATCTA